GTAATTAAAATGCCAAAAAACGTACAAGTATGAAAAGTACGTGCATAAAGTAGAATTCTGGTGTTGGTCATGGACCATTTGCACAGCCCCTCGAGTGCTATTTATAGAGGTCTGATACAGTGATTGAAAGCAGTAGCAATTCCCTTTTAAATTTAAATTCAAACATAATTTGTCTGAACCTTATCATCTTGTAATATCTCCTTTACAAGCACGTGCCTTTAAACAAATATGAAAGATAACTTATTGATGATGTGATGCTGGAAGTAATTCTCTATTGATGCAACCATTGTAAAGGAAACAATTCTCGCAGTCAATCAGCACCAAGTATTTGAACTAAAACCTTCTCAAATCAATTGACACCGGGTGGCCGAATCAAAAAGTTACATGCTAATTTAGAATCCTTTTCGTAATAGATGTCTAGAAATCATTCTCCTCTAGCATGCTACATTATTCCCAGTCTATCAGCACCAGTTGGTTAAATCAAAACCTTCATCAAAACCAATCAGCACCATAAGGCTGAACTAAAATTCTTCAAAATTAATCAACACCAAATGGCCAAATCAGGAAGTCGCATGCTAATTAAGACTCTTCTTCTAAATAGAAGTCTTAAAACAACACATTATATTGCAATCCCAATTGATCAGCACCTCATGGTCGAATAAAAATATTTTTAAGCAACTGATCGGCACCAATGGTTGAAAAATATTTTAGGTTGCAAACATGAAGACGTGCCACTTGTAAAAATCACTAATAAGACATAACACGACACCTGACCAATGCATTTGCGACCACACACGTCTGGCCGAATGGGCTAGAAAGGCGGTTCAGCCCTCTAAATCAGCCACATGACGAGCTAGGATCCCACGAAATCAGCAAAGAGTAGAATTAGAGCATCTCCAGCAGTCTGTTAAGACACTCTATTGTGTAAAATATATACTGCCATGTATAATGTGTAAATTTTTTTTAACTGCAGTAATATGTTAAAATACATTGCCACGTCATCAATGTGTAAATTTGTTGTGTATTTTACACAATTAACTGGTATTTACGACAGGTCGCTTCACAAGGTCAATATGAATGTGGTTTTGAAAGTTTTGAAAGTCAATTTTACATTATAAAACCACCTACTACTATATAGCGTAGTGAGTAAGGATCGTCCACAAGGACTGGCGACTTGATTCAATTTAAAATTAGTGAACAAATGATTCAATAGAAAAGATAGGTTGTTTATAATTAAACTAAGCAAAATAATAAATGCAAATAAAAGAAAAGATAAATTGATAACAGAATGGAAATATTGAGAAACTTAGGTCATAGAATCCACCTTTAGCCTTGTAATTGTACCATTGCAATCAAATTAGAGAAAATATTTGTGCAATAATAGATTTGTGGCTGCAAACACACAATCATGGTCAAAAGAATATATAAAATGCACTAATAAGCATAACTCATCAAATCTCAGCATGAATTGTTTACCTACCTACTTCTACACTAATGTTGTAGCACAACTCATCAAATCTAAGCATGAACTATCAAATCAAGTGCAAATACATCAATTAAATACCACTGTTTAACCATCACTCACACAACTACAAGAAATGAAGATATTAAGATCAATCAACCATAATCAATGCATAAGACAATACAAAGATCATAAGAAGACTAATGAAAGAATTAAACACACAACTAATCTTGGTATAATCAAGTATAATTCGCAAGGAAACGTTAAAAAATCTACACAAATAATCCCCAAATTTAAGAACAAATAATACAACACTTGGCGTAGGGCTTCATCCAAGCCCTAAGAGAAGAAATAGCTAGCCACGAAGATGACAGAGATGAATATAAATGCTCCAGTCTCCATCTCCAAGCGCAACCTAATATCTTTAACGGTTGAGAAAGGGTTTCTAGAGAGAGGAAGTCTTCAAAGCTTGGCCTCTCAACAACTCCAATCTGCATCCTCCTCCAAAGGAGGCTTCATCCTCCATAAATGCTCAGATTTGTGCTCTAGGATGGTTAGAACTCGGCCCAAGAATCTTACAATTCACACATAGCCGGAGTTGGTTCGAAAAGAGCTTCAGATATGCTTTTGTATAGCTTCTACAGCGAACTTGATCAATCGAGCTGAATAGTAAATTCTACACTTGAGCTTTCTTTTGCTCCCATTCCTTGCCAAAACTCTGTTTGACCTTCCCAAAGGCTTTAAGGCATTTGATTTAGCTTGTTTAAGCCTTATGAACTTGAAATCAGAAATAAAACAAATTAAGACTACAACGGTAAAATAAAAATAGATCAAAGTTCTAAAATATCCAAGGTTAAGGGCTGAAATGTACATATTTCAGCACTTATCAATAACCTTTTTACACAGCCACATCAGTATATTACCTTTCTCCTCCCTTTTTCTTATTCCATTAACAAATCAACCTTATATTAAGTAGTGTTGTAAAAATTATGTGGGGTTCAGACATGACACTAGTTGGTTATTATTGGAGGATATATTTTTACACAAAAAGTATAAAATAACCACTGAAACTAAAAATAAATAATCTAAATTTTTTGTGTAAATTTATTTTGACACATCATATTTACACAAAAAAAAAAAAATTATATAAACAACTGTTGGAGATGCTCTTTGGATTAAGATTGTACAATTCACTTGACTATAGCGGAGGATTAGCACCAATTCCCAAAAATCATGACAAGATGAGCCTTAAATCAAGTGCAACTCTTTGTATAAATACTTGGAGAAAATGTAGGAAAGATATATGAAACAACAGTAGAGAGAAAATTGATACATTTATATTTTTGTATTCCAGTCCTGGTTTAGCATTAACAAGAGTCTTGATATATTTTGTTAGTTTGGTTGGTGTGAGTGTGTTCGCTTCCTATACTTGTAAATTTATACACTTACAATTACATTTGAATGATGGACTCGAAAAATCCGTGGTTCTTAGGTGACTCACTGATTCTGATAGATCGAAAGAATTCTGTTGGTTAACCAACACAAACAATTATTTATTTGATAAACTGCACATGGGTAGAGTTAAAAATTTTAAAATAACAAAATAGTCTATTTTAAAATTTTATTTTTCAAATTACTACGTAATTAAATTAAACAAAATAATTACAAATACATCAAAAATTAGTATTAAAGTGCCCATATTTTGTTCTCTCTCTCAAGATCTTGGCTTTAGCAACATAAACCCTACCTCCCTGATCTCTCTCTCTCTCTCTAATGGTTGCTTTGTTCTTCTCACAAACTTTGTTTTTAATATTCCGATTCTCATCTCTAAACTCCAAAACTATGGAAACTTTATTTTGTTCTTCTTATTTACAGAACTTTCCCATGACCAGCATTAGTCAATAAAGCAATTAAAAAAACAATGGCTCCGCATCCAATTTTGACAAATGGACAATGTTTTAATAGTAGACTAAACTGATTGTGAATGTATCAGCTAAAAGTGATAATTGCATAGAGCATGCGATGGTGGTGGAACACAGTAATTAGTGGTAGTAGTTGGGCCCAGGACTTTTGAGGATAGAATACACCGTATATATTATGTACTACTAATAATAACACATTAATAAGTGGTAGTTGTTGTGTCCGGGACTTTGAGGATAGATTTGGGAGGTGGTCGTGGTCCTTGTGGATAAGGGTTTGCAAGAAGAATGCACTTGGCCAATTTATTCATATTTGTTAATTCAAATGGATTCTCAACTATCTATTTTGGTATTTTAGAATTTTATAATTTTAAGAGAATCTTTTGAAATTTTGATATAATAGCTTAGAGGGTATTTTAGACATTAATAGTAATTTTTGATGCATTTGTAATTAATTTGTTTAATTCAATCAAATTTAAAAATAAATTTTTAAAATTGACCATTTTGTTATTTAGGTTCCCTAATTCTACTTATGTGAGTCTTGACCGTTGTGTTATTTAAGTTTCCTAATTCAACTTATGTGAGTCTTGGAAGCTGGTTCAACGGGTTAGAGCAACTCCAACAGTGCCATATTGGGTGAGCCCAGCCCAATTTGGCCACCCTATTCGCTCCATTGCGGGTCGCCAAATTTGGTTTGCTAATTTATAATTGCTATAAGGGTCGCCTTTTGGCGATCCATGGGCCCTCATGAGCGGGCTCGAATGCATATTTTTTTTAAAGGCCCAATCTACTGTAGCAACCTATAATTGGTTTTAAGAGTTCGTTTGGGTAGAAAAAAATGCCATAAATCATTTTTCTTTTTTTTTTTTTTGACCTTTATATTATTATTATTATTTTTGCTCAACACAACTGAACCAAATAGTTGTTAATGCACTGTTTGGCTGAAAGGCTTTTTTGGGGGAAAATAAAAAGGACAAATTCATTTTTTTTTCCTCTTCCCAACTACTTCCTTAAAGGCTTAATGAATATTGTATTAGTTAAATTTATAATAGATATTGTATTGTTTATTTTTTTAAAAAAAAAATTCTATAATGGATATTGTATTGTTTAATTTCTTTTTATAATATAGCCCTTAAAAATTTAGTGGTTTAGAACTTAGAGATAAAGTTAAAAATATATATATATTAAAAAATTAAAAAATATCAAAATATTAATATTATTGGAGAGTGAAAATATACTATTAGATCACATAAGAGTTCAAAATACTGATGTGATTCTTAGAAATGATAATGTGACTTTTGAAAGATAGTGATGGCAAATTTGCATTGCCGAAATTTGAACATGACATTGGATTTGATCTTCTAGGTTTAATATCAGTATGGAGTCGAAAGAAATTTAATGTAATTTTTTATTTTTACAAGTTTTCTCAATATTAAAATCAAATGTCAATGTTAGCCATGTCAGGTGGTGACCCGGACACCATTTATTACAAGCGATTTATTTTGGTCAAACCCACCAAAAATGATCAAACAATGACAACTTATCAGGCTCGATGAAACAGTGAATCGCTATATGTGGAACTTTTTCGACCATATTCTGTGCACTAGAATATTCATTAATTTTTTAGAGAGAGAAAATTCTGAAAGAGAGAGAGATGGTGAACGTGTTTACAGCACTGAAGCCATTGTTACATATGGTGATGAAGCTAGCCGGAGTGAAGCCCCAAACATTAAAGATCGAGCCCGGCACGGACATGAACTTGTGGGTCCCAAACGAAACCACAAACAAACCTGTTGTGGTTCTTGTTCATGGATTCGCTACAGACGGTATTCTGACATGGTTATTCCAAGTGCTAGCCCTAACCAGCGAGTACGCAGTCTACGTGCCTGACCTCATCTTCTTCGGCGGATCAGTCACCGATAGAGATAAGCGTTCGACGGCCTTTCAGGCCGAGTGTTTGGCCAAAGGGTTGAGGAAGTTGGGTGTGGAGAGGTGCACACTGGTGGGGCTTAGCTATGGTGGGATGGTTGGGTTCAAGATGGCCAAGTTGTATCCGGACTTGGTGGAGTCTATGGTGATGTCTAGCACTGTTGTGGAGTTAACCCAGTCCATCAGTACTGCGTCGCTCGAGAACATCGGGTTCCGTCGGTGGTCGGACTATTTGTTGCCGGACTCCGGCGAGGGTGTCAAAGTTCTTCTCTCAATTGGTACTCACAAGTTGCCGTGGCTCCCTAATTTTTTTTATAAAAATTTTCTGGAGGTACTTTCTCTCTCTATGCATATCTCTTTAGTTTCATTTCTTGATTTTCATGATCAATTAGGTATTTGCATTTCTATAATGATTCCCAACCCTAAAACCCTGATTGAGAATGCAAGTCCAGAAATTTTTATCATTTGGATGCATTGAATATGAGTAAAATATTGATCTTTTCCGAGGTATCCAACTAATAGAAATGCCTCGATTAGCATTTTCGATTTTGTTAAACAAGTATAAAATTTGTTTAAATTTCATAAAATTGACGGTAGATAAGTTTATATATTCATTTACAATTTTTAGAAAATTGAACGTAACATGCATGTCTTTAAATATTTATAATTTGGAGTCCTTAAAATACAAGGAGTGTGGATATGACTGAACTGGGATCACAAATGATAAATTAATAATCTTATTTCAGCATACCTTCTCAACTCAATCCTCTCATATATATATATATATATATATATATATATATATATATATATATATATATATATCACAACTACGTTCCAATGGGAATGGTTAAAGGCTGGTTTTCCTATGTAACAGATATGCCATTCTCCAGCATGACTTGTTTAAAATATTAGTTGAAAGCTGGAGATAGCTTGATCCAGCACACCTTAGTACCCGTTTGTTTTGTTGGAAATAAACTACTTAACTGTTTTTCTCAATTTTTGTCCTTGTAACTCTAAATAGAAAATAATTCTTTCATTCTTTTATCTCCACAATCTCTCCCCAACACCATTTAAGGTTGATATTTTATTCTCCTTAAGCACTATGAGATTATTATTATTATTATTATTTTAATTTTAATTTTTTCTTTTATAACAAATAATAATGATAAAAGTCCAACAGTCAGATAAATTCCATTAATGATTAAATCAATCACTTTCGAACTCTAAATTAACCAGTTTTGAATGATGAATCCGTTATCCATTAAGAAGTCAATGTCCACAATGTTTGGACAAGTTTACGAGTCGCATGTTTTTGAATCATGAACCAATTCATTCATTGACTGTTCTTCATGACAGGTGATGTTTAGCAACAGGAAAGAGAGAGCTGAACTTCTAGAGGCTTTGGTCGTCAGTGACGAGGACTCAACCATTCCCGAATATTCCCAGGTTTGAAAACTTACTTTGACCTTTCTTGCTTTTCTTTTTTTTTTCATTTGTTTTGTTTTTCCTTTTCCGGGTTTTCCATACCGACTTATTTGAAACTTTTGTTACCTTCGACATTTGGTTATCGTGATTGATTTTGTCTCCTAAGGCTTCGTTATCGTGTCCAACTTGTTAATATGGGCTTGCAAAACTTTTTTTTTTTTGAAAAATAAGGGCTTGCAAAACTTGGTTGCGTTTATACACGCTCCTTTCACACAAACACACCTTTCGGATCCCACACTCCTTTCTAAAAAGAATTATTACAAATAAATTGTACTAAAAACTTATATTTATCATAGAGTCAAAGTCTTATAATTTTAAAAAGAATAAAGTTGACCAGAATTCTGACGTGAACAAAAAAAAACATTATTCACTGCGTATCACTTTTAGACATTATTCACTGGGTATCACTTTTAGACATATAGATATCACTTTTTGTACATCAGGTATCACTTTTATTTTGGACATACATGTACCACTTTTTGTGCACATATGTACCACTTTTTGTGTTTTGACGTAAAATATTCTTTTTGAAATTTTTTTTTTTTTTTTTCAAGTAAAATTAATATTCTTTTATTTTTATTTTGTCGGTATTTAGCAAAAGTGTACGTCGAAGTTGAGGTCGAGTCCATCGGGCGGAGCATGTAAAATAACTTGTCAAAAATTGATTGATAAATTATTTTTGTTAAATTTTAATATATTTTTTTCTTCCTAAATATTTTACAATAACTACACATCATAAAATAAAAAATAAAAAAAAAAATTCTGAAAAATATTTTACATCCAAACAAACATAGTCTAAGTATCAATTTTTTGTACAACATAAAAAATGGTATCTAATGACAAAAAGTGCTACATGCATGCACAAAAGTAACTCACAAGGTAACAAAGGTTAACAAAAGTTTAAAATAAATTTTATAAATTTTTTTTGTCTAATAATTAAATATTGAACAATCCTAATAAAAATTACAAGTAATAGAAAAATATTTGTTTATATATTAATTATTAATGGAGGCATTGCCCATTTTAAACTCTCTTTCCCGATCATTAATTATGATGATCCTAAATCGAATCCAATTGACAATCCTAATAGCAAGTAGCTCAAAGTTTCTTAATAATTTTCGAATTTGTTCATACATACCTATTATATAACCCTAATTATTGGCTAAACAATTGAATGTTTGACTGGTGGATGAAGCAGATAATATTAACAACTTGTCTCAATTAAAGGACTTCCTTGAAATGAAATGTATAAATATATATTATCGTTGAACTTCAGAAGAGACTTCCAAATACAACCCCACGTGTTTGGCTGCAAATCTTGTAATTCATTGCTTCTCAATAAATTCACAACTACTGAATCCCACTCCATAGTCCATGCTACTACAATAATGGAGTATTAATGGGACTTGAAATTTTTATCAATAGTTTGAAGATCGATTTCAGCTAACCATAAGATTTGATCGATTGGAGTCTGAAAGTCACTAGGTTAAAATAAAATAAAAAATATGCAAGTGTCTTCGTAGTTCAACGGTCCGTTATTCTAAAAAGTCCGATTTCGAATCTTCACATCTATTAATTTCTAATTTAGTTTTAAATAATAATAAATAGTATCTTCATATGCTGAGATAAAATTTATTATTAATTGTTTATCTTGACAAATTAAGAGGAGCTTTATTATTAATTGTTTATCTTGACAAATTAAGAGGAGCGACTCAGCCCAAAAACTGGATTCATCCACCCCTCCAAACTTTTCATGTAATATTATTTGTCACCATAATTGTGAATTAGTAGTTCACTTTTTACTTTTCACTTTGTAACTCAAATTAGTACTTGCCTATGAGGTGGAAATTAAGGATAAACTCTTAGTTTTAATATTACATTTGTATTAATTTCATAAATATTGTCGCAGAGGATCCATCTCTTGTGGGGAGACGACGACAAGATCTTCAACTTGGAACTTGCCCACAGCATAAAAGAGTAAGTTTTATTCTTATTTTTATAATATAGTGTAAATTACACTCACATTCCTTATAAAATGTCTAGATAAGAAGGATCATTCTTATAGTTTTAAAAATAATATTGATCTCCCCCGCCAATTTGTCAATTTAGTAAAAGTGTGAAATGATAATTTTACTCATTTATTGAAGGGCAAATTTGGGTTTTCAAATTTTTTTTTTAGGTATGACATTAGCACAGATTTTATGACAGGGATATCAGTATTACTTCGAACAAAATTACGGGGACTTCCATATAATTTTTGAAACTAGAGAAGATGTTTCTATTATTTCCTTTGTATTTTCCGAATATTTTTGTTATCTGCCAAACCATTATTCAACATGTAAAGCTTGTTTTTGACAACTTGACCGAAACTAATGAGATGCTATTGAACCACAATCACAGGAAATTAGGAGAGAAAGCCACACTGCAATACATAAAGAATGCAGGTCACCTTGTTCAGCTGGAAAGACCCTTAATGTACAACCGGCATCTCAAGAATATTCTTGCATCTTTGATGGCAGATGGGAAGCAACACTGACTTTTTATTTATTTATTTATTTTTCTTTGTTCATTTAGATCCTAATGTATTTCAAACATTACTCTTAATATGCCAGTTCAATTTGTGAGCCTGTTAGTGTAATTCAATTTGGCATCATAATAAGAATCTTCTACTTTGGTCTTATATCATCTGCAACTCACAAGAGACTGATATTCGATAGCTTGTTTGCCGGTGGTGTAGTAAAAAAGTAGTTTTTTATTTTATTTTATTATTATTTTTTTTTATCAACAGAGGTGTTCGAAAATTGTTGTAGGTAAAAAAGAATGTTAGTTGTGTTGACTCTAAGAAATAATCAAATCAAGATTAAAATATAAGAAGCATCAACATTGTATAAGTAATAACAAATAAGCTCCTGACAACACTTTCCTTCAAGTTGGCGCAAAGATATCTATCATGCCCAACTTGACTAACATATTTCGCAAGTAAGTCTTGCTCACACCCATAGTCAACATCAGCAACCTGATCATATGTGTTGACGTATGGAGTATAAATCAGCCCAAGATGAAGTTTTTCCTTGGTGAAGTGTCAATCGAGATCGACTTCAATATGTTTTGTTCTGTTATGTTGAACTGGATTGTGGACAATACTAATAACATCCTTGTTATCACAATACAATTTCGTTGACTCGGGAACAGGATAACCCAAATCACCCAACATAGTTTGTAGCGATAACAACCCACAAACTCCTTGTGCCATGGATCTGAACTAAACCTCTGCACTAGATCTAGCTATTACAGACCGATTCTTGCTTTGCCATGAAACAAGACTACCTCCAACAAATGTGTAATATCCTGAAGTAGATGATTGATCTATCACAGACCCTGCCCAATCAGCATCAATACAGGCTTCAGCATGCAAGTGGCCATGACGCCAAATAATGTCCCCTTACCAGGTGAACCCTTGAGATAGCAAAGAACATGATGAGCTGCCTCATGTACGTGGAGCATGCATAAATTGACTAATCACACTAACAACGCAAGCAAAATCCAGGCGCGTGAGAGATAGGTAAATCAGTCTCCTAACCAATCGCTGAAATCTTCCCATGGTCTCCATCTACATCATTAAGCCTATAGTTATGCTAAATAGGAATATCAATAGTTCTAGCTCTAAGCTTGCCTATTTTAGCCAACAAATCTAACATATACTACCATTGAGAAACGAACACCCCTTTCTTCGATCTGCACCTTGATGCCAAAAAAATATCTCAATGATCCGAGATTTTTAACCTTGAACTCTGTCCCCAAGAATGACTTCATGCGATGAATCTCTTCTGGATCATTTCCAATTATAACAATATAATCAACATATACAATGAGGACAATGGTGTAGCTATAGTGTTTCTTGATGAAGAGAGTATGATCTACTTGAATTTGTGTGTACCCTACACTTTTTCACAGCATTTCTGAACCTCTCAAACCAAGTATGTGGCGACTGCTTCAACCCATACAAGGCTTTATTTATCTTGTACACTAAATTCTGACAATTGGTAAGCTGAAACCCTGGCGGCATAGTCATATACACCTCTTCCTCCAAGTTACCATGAAGGAAAGCATTATTTACATCCAACTGATGTAAAGGCCAATTCAAATTAGCGGCCAAATTAAGAAATAAGAATACGTATAGAGTTCATTTTGGCAATTGGAGCAAATGTTTCCAGATAATCAATCCAATATGTTTGAGTGAAGCCTTTTGCAACTAACAGGGCTTTATATCTCTCAATTATTCCGCCCGCATGATACTTTATTGTGTAGACCCATTTGCAGCCTATTGGAGTTTGATTGAGAGCATCTGAAACACTAGAAGGAACATATACAGAGGAGATACAAGAAGTGATCGAAAGCACGATATGTTGGATATAAGGCATTATAGGATATACAAACTGAGATATGGAATGTTTTGTACAACTATGAACACCCTCACGATAGGCAATAGGGACATCAGATCAACATGATTGCTATTGGGAAAAGAATCAGGAGTATCAATGTCAACTAAGGAATTACGATAAGCAATACGAACATCAGATCAACTTATGATCCCACGAAGTAATGGTATTTTCCCTAAAAGCATTAAACCAAACCTTGGCTCTATCCTCACTACAAGAAAATGGGTCTTTAGTGACAATCAAATCCGTCACTAAAAGCCCTTAAACCGTCACTAAAAATAAAAATCGTCCATCACTAGTTAAAGCATCTTAGAAGATCTTTAGTGACGGTAAAAATGACCGTCACCAAAAAATCGGTCTTTACTGACGGTATTTACCGTCCCAAATAATCCCGTCCCTAAAATTTATTAGGACGGATTTACCGTCACTAATAAGTTGTATATTAAGGACAGTTTTTGGACTGTCACTAATACCTAAACTATTCGTGACAGTATTTACCGTCACTAATAAGTTGTATATTAGGGACAGTTTTTGGACTGTCGCGAATACATAAACTATTCGTGATAGTATTTACCGTCACTAATAAGTTGTATATTAGGGACAGTTTTTGGACTGTCACTAATACATAAACTATTCGTGACAGTATTTACTGTCCCTAATAAGTTATTTTTTTAATTTTTTTTTTTTTTTATCACAATTGTGACAACTAGAAACCATCCATATTAACCCCCCCCCCCCCCCTACAGCTATGTTTGTAGATATATATATATATATTTTTCTTCTTAGATTCTTTATAAGGAAAATTCAAACTCTTAACTTAACCCACAAAATATTATACCGCACACCATAGATAAACATCAAAATAAAGACAGGTAAAATATAAAAATAAACTTTAAACCTCTTCCAACATGTTCAAAAATCAGAGCATCATTTTAAACTAAATGCCAAACAGAATCTGTGTAGTTCAAAGACAAAAAAGGTTACATACATAGTCTTAAGAAGGCTTCATAATTTGGTACCAAAATATATGCCCAACAAAATCTGTGTAGTTCAAAGACAAAAAAGGCTACATACATAGTCATAAGAAAGCTTCATAATTTTGTACCAAAATATATGCCCAACAGAATCTATGTAGTTCAATTAAGATAAAAAGGGCTAGATATATTAGTCATAAGAAAGTTCCATAATTTTGTACCAAAATATTTGGCTCCATCATATTGGTCATTTGATTTGTGGTTGTAGTGGTGCTCGCGGGTGGTTATGATATCGCCACCATGGTGGCAGCGGCTGCTGATATTGCCGCCATGGTGGTGGCGGCTGTCAAAGGTGAGAATCTGGTGGCGATGGATGCTCGACCTGCTTAGTGGGACTGATTCTTGTTGGGAATCTGATGAGGATTGCTGATATTGTTGGAACCATGGCGGTGACTGCTACTGCTGAAGCATCTTCTCAATTCTTTCCATATATTGCCGCAAACTTTTTACTTCCTCCTTCAGTTGTTCATTATTTTCCTCAACAATTTCTACTCTTTGACGAGAAGCCTCTTCATAAGATGAGGATGCACGTTGACGGCTTGGAATCACGAAACCATGTCCGAACCCACGGGGATATCCTTTCCTGATATCAAGTTGGTTTTGCACTATCTCAACATCATTTCTCACTGGACTGGTACCATCAGAATTTTGACAAATCTGGGAAGACTTATCCATCATTTTATCCTACAATTGACATATAAGTCTTAGAATTAAGAATTGAGATACAATATCAGAAGCCCAACAGAGTTCCTATCCAAAGGAACTTCAGTAAGAGCCAAACAATCATTGATAAGGTCTCCTTGTTGAAATACAACCATACTCAAAGTTATGCTTCAGCTTGTCATATTCTTGTGATTTTAAAGCTTTCACTTTCTAAAATTTGGAGGAAACAAGTCAAGTGGAATAGAAAATTGAAAGAACTGACAAACTAACAAGAAGTAAAAATTATAGATCCATTTTTACAGGTGCTATCAATGAACATGTATTATGAAAAGCAGAGCTACCTGCAGATTGAATACATCCCCTGAAGCAACTTATTACTAAGAGATAAACAAAACTATAATTTGATTCGAACACGCTGTGTTTAGGATTGAATATGCTTTTACAAAAAGGTCATATTTTCAATGTCCAAAAGAAGTTCAATTGTATCATGCTGAAATCTGAACTGGATCTGCTACAAACCTCTCAAAGCCTTAGTTCCTCCTTGTACATGTAAAATAAAACAATCTCCCATCACAATCATTTTAAAGGCTTAGTTGCCCCTTGTGTGTGTAAAATAAACTAGGACTTTAGTAACATCCACTTGTATCTTCTCTAAGCTCCAACTCTCTTAACCAAAATTCTAGTTTTTTCAAATTTTAAAAGAACAGATGAAGAAATAAATTAAAAATTATCCCCAAAATTTGAATAAAGAAACTGTAATCTAAACAAGCATATATAACTCATTTACAATCAAAACCAGAGATTATCCCTTGCTAAAACAAAACCATTAACAATGAACAAACCCCAAATCGATTTAAATACCACATTTTTTAAATAACTAAAAACCAGAATTTTTCCCAATAAAAAGGTAAACCCAAGCAACAAAAACAACAAATGAAATAAACTAAAAATTATCCCCAAAATTGGAAGGAAGAAATTTTAATGTAAACATGCATATGTACAACACACCCACGGCACATAATTTATAAGTATATAAGAACCTGAGGGTGCATGTGTGTGCCTCCAGCTAAAATCATAATAGGCATAGTTGGTTTACTTACGTAGTTCTGCTTAGCTTTCTCATGTACCATCAAGTTTTTTCCCTAAAATGTGTCTCCCTGTACAGACGAATAGCAGGACCCTCCTGGTGACTTTGAACTTACCCATCTTCTTCACTATGCCTTTGTTGACTTTCCTTTTCCTGCAACACAAAGTAATAGTTAGCATTAGATAATATATGGTTTAGATGGATAATAGATTGAAATGATATAATTATTGTTTTATATATTGCATACATAAACATCATAACGTTTGACGAAAGACATCGATCCTGAAACATGTGGAATCCCATTCTTCAAATGGTTAGCTTTCTTTCTTCGACTTATTTTCTGTATAGTAATTCAAAGACTAATAAAAGTTAACACACCTAAATAGCTAGTGAATCAATGTATTATAATCAATGATTTCAAATACAAGTAGTTAAGAAATCCGAACCTGAAATTCTGGTGATATCCACCAATCGCACAAGTTTTTCCAAAGATCAGTATGAATACCTACATAAGGACGCAAGCATGCATTCTCAATAGGAAGATGCTTGTCAAAATGATTCTTCAATCTATGTCTATATTTCCTCAAACTTTCAGAAACTCCATTAGTTACTCGCTTAAAATCAATTTCACTGGCATGTAAATTGTAAATTGTTGTAGCACCAAGACACCCGGTCCGCCTTCATTAAATTTCTATAGAATTGGTCCTCACCCAACACTCCACATTCATCATACTGGGGAAGAGCAATGAATCACATGATATCAATCGTTGATCTACATATGATGACAAAGTTTAGAGGACAGGCACATCAACCTCGGTACATTAAGCCAACCGAGTTACTGGTCTCTCTCACTAGCTAGTATCTGACCCCTTGGGCTACCTGGTCTTCCAAGACCAAGCACTGGTCGTCCAAGACCAATGCCCAATCATCCGAAACCATAACCATGCCCAATCAGGACTTTAAGTCCAATGAAGTTTCTACAATCAAAGAGTTCACCACGTCCAAGGTGGTCCCATGCCCAATAAGGTTTTTGACCATTGAGCATCAAGTATGGTCTCTTCTACCAGGAACCAAGCCTTATCCACTGCACATCAAGTCTGGCAAGTCTTTGCCACCATAGCCACATTGCAAGGCGAGCATAAAGGATAAGCTCACAAAACTCAATAAATTTACTCCCTTATTAAAGGACAAGCTCAAAAAACAACAAAAAACAAAACAAAAAACAACATATTCCTTTATTAAAGGGCTAACTTATAAAGCTCGAGCGAAATGTCCCCTTATTAAAGGGGCGAGCTTGGTGAAACTTATAAAAACTAACCCTTTATTAAAAGGACGAGATGAGTGAAGTTCGAAAAAATTAAAATTAAACCATTTATTAAAATAGCGGGTTGGGTGAAGCTCAAAATTATTACTCTCCTTATCAAAGGGGCGAGCTGAATGAAGCTCGTAAAAATTATTCCCTTATTAAAAGGACTGTTGAGTGAAGCTCATAAAACACACACACACACACACACGTGTTTGTGTGTTGATTCCAAAGGGAATTCAACTATCACCGTGCATTGGTATTGTTGAGTGTGTAATTTGAACACATACATATGCAAGGTACACACATACATGAGCTATTGTTTAGTGTGTAATTTGAACACATACATATGCAAGGTACACACATACACCAGCGAGTCGAGCTTGAACTCGGCTAGCCAAAGCTCAGTTGAGCTCAAGCCAAGTTTGAGCAGCACTTGTGTGTTTGAACGAGCTTCGGCCAGCGGAGCTCCTAATAGGACTCTCTCATGGGAAGAGTAACAATTTATTCCTTATTTAAATATTGAATTGAAACATGTATTAAATAATTTATTTGACTTTTCACATATCTTTAAAACTTGTTCCAATCCTAGGAGGAGCTCTTGTCTATTCTCACGAGAGAATCCTCTTAGAAACAGTACTCAAAATTATATAAAATTGAAATGAAAGCTATAAATTAAAATGTTGTCTCTCTTATTCTTGATTCAAAATCTATTCAGTTTTGATCCCCAAATTGTGAAACTGGTATATATATATATATATATATATATATATATTACAGTTTGCAATTCATGGGATTTTACAGTAGAAAGTTGCATGAGCATTGCTGTTAAAGACGAAGATATGCATTACTATTAAAGGCGAAGATACAGAGGAATGCTTACTAGTTACATAAGCATTAGTATTAAAGGCAAAGATACAATGGAATGCTTACTAGTTACATAAGCATTACTATTGAAGGCAAAGATACAAATGAATGCTTACCTGAACAAAGATCCCAAAAATAGAAAAAGAAACGGAACTGGAATTACGCTAATTTAGGGACTGACAGAGTCCTTCGTGCACTAGTTATCTTCAGTTGTCATGGGCCTTTGTAGGTGCCTCAAATATTTTTTAGTATGACATACTGTAGAATTGATTGGATCGTAGCAGTATAGTAGTTTAAGAGAATCCCATTGCATTTCATGATAATAAAAAGGGTGGTGTTAATCATAGATAAATAATTTATTTTTTTATTTATTTAATTTTTAATTTTTTTTGACAAGAAATACACACTATTTATATATTTTAATTTGTTTCTTTGAGAATTCAAATTCTCACCATTTATTTTGAGAGGTAGAGAAACTACCATTAGACCAAAACGTATTGAATTTATTTAACATTTCACAAATATATATAAAAAAAATTGTCTCAATTTAGAGATTTATAAGAGCGTCTCCAATGCTCTCTTAAATGTCCTCATAGATTTTATTTTCTAATGCACTTCAATGGTGTGCTATAGAATCTCTCAAAATATGAGATTCTCAAAATTTTTCTCATATATAGCAGGTTGCTATTTTTTTTTTTTGCGCAAGACATTGGCTGGAAAGTCACATGAAAAAGCAAGAATAATGTATTGATTAAAAAAAAGTAAAGTAATGGTTAAAGTATTAGCACAATTGGAACAGAATTGCTAAAATATAACATTTTGGATAAAATGTACCATTGGAGCAGAATTCTTAAAATATAACATTTTGGCTCCAAAAAATTATCATTCGGGAAGTAAATTACTTACACTCATTGAGGGTCCTATGTAATGGGCGAGTGTTTCGTAATTCGATTCAAAAGTTTAAGTTATTAGGTGGGGTTAACACTCAATCTATATATACTCATTTATTTTTTCATTCGGATCCGATATTGGACACTTGTAATATTATTTCTCATTTGAACTCGTACTGCCGTCGTTGCGATCGAACCACTCTGCCATCCGAAAATACTCTCGAACTTTAGTAACGGTAACGGATGAGTAATTCGCCACGTGAGTCAAAAACTTAAACACTTCAATAAGATTAACACCCAATCATAAATCCCCATTTACTTTCGGAAATGATGTCGCTTGCAAAACCATACCACTAGAGCCAACCGATTAATCCGTGTTTCCATTCTCTGAGTAGCCAGGTGCAAATTGTGGAACCCCATCTATCCTCGTCACCCCACGTAATCCCATGGATCACGTCAGACATAGAGTATTTATCCAAATGCCACGCCTAAGTAAAAGCCAGAGAAGCATGTGGTTTCGTTTAACATGTAACTAAAAGAGAACGATCCACTTGCCTTTGGGCCTCTTCTGGCCCCCAAACAATAACCGCTGGGTCTTCCTTTCTTTTCCCATTCTACCAGACAAACCCACGTGAGGGTTCATGTCATTCTGGGCCCACCTTCCCCTCCGTCTCCTAATACCGCCTTTCTCACACACACACATTCCGGCTACTTGTGTCAGATTCCGGCGCTCGTTTTAGCCTTATACATCCATCATCTTCATTCCTTTATATATCTCGCACAAATACAATTCAAAGGCGCATACATATATATATATATATGGATTACTATAGTGTATAGCTAGGCATGAAAGCATACCAAAGGTCCCTTTAACTTTCCGCAAAGCGCACACACTGACACGCACAGTACTGAAAGCGATACCAACACTAGTTCTTGCTAGTTCTTACCCCTTTCTTTCAAACACTTTCTCTCTCTAAAAAGCTAATTCATTTATAGATAGAGCTTCAATTGTTGGTCGGAGATGTTACCCTGTCTCCAAACGCCGGAAAATCTCGCCGGCAGTTATACGGGCATGAGCGTCCTCGAGAGGGAAAGAGCGCGCTTGAATTGGCAACAACAGCAGCAAGAACAACAAAGTGATTTCAATGGAAATGAGTTTTTCAGTGAGTTTCATGGGTTTGGGAGTCGGACGGTGAAGGTGGATCAGGATTTGGAAAGCGGGTGGGTCGATATGGGGAAGTTGGGTGGGGATGATTTGGGTTTTGGGTTTGGGTTGGAGATGAATTATGGCATCTCAAGGACTGCCAGCTGCCCACCGGTGGTTGCAGCGGCGATGTCGGAGGTGGCGGCGGCTGATATGAAGGGAAGACAATATATTTTGCCGGGAAAGCTGAGTTCTTCGGTTGGAACAGAGAGCTTCAAGAAGAGAAAGGCTGATAAGAACCAAAATCCAAAGGTGTGCACCTTTTGTTTTATCAACACTGACCATATTATCCTCTGTATGTGAAATTATGAACATCTAACTATCTATCTATATATATATATATATATTATCCTCTGTGTTATAGTTTCAATAACAACTATATTTACCCAAAAATTAATTAATAATTACTATGCTGTAGTAAGTTTATAAATTTGATATTGTTGAGAAATTGTATGGAGGTGTGGCATCATTTTAACAACTACTATGCTGTAGTAAGTTTATTTAGAAGAATATTTTGAAATTTTTTTACAAATTGTACGAAGAGTTATCAATAAAAACAAATACTATGCTTTAGTGGAAGATATTAAAATTTGAATTTATTTATTTATTTTTTTTTTTTGAGAAATTGTATGGAAGTGTTGTCAATTTAACAACTAGTATGCTGTAGTAAGTTTATTTTGAAAAAAATTTGAATATTTTTTTGACAAATTGTATGGAATGTTGTCAATTAAACAACTATTATGCTTTAGTAAGTTTGAAAATTATAATTTACCAAAAAAAAGAAAAAAAAGTTTGAAAAAAAAGTGTTATCAATTTGACAACAAACTCTGTTTGAGACATGTTTAGGTGGTGGCAAAAGATGACAGCAGAGACAAGAGAATACAAGGATGTGGTGAAGGAGAGTCCATAATCACAGAGCAAAGTAGCAATAGCAGAGAAATTTCTGCTGATGCTTCAAAGGTGAATTCAAAGGCTTCTGAGGTGCATGTTAATACTACTGATTACATCCATGTCCGAGCACGTCGCGGCCAAGCCACCGACAGTCACAGCCTTGCTGAGAGGGTAATTAGTGGCAGTCCTTTTTGTTTTAAAATTTGGCGCTCTACTAGAATTCTTGTGCATTAATTCTGGACTACTAAAGTATTTGCAACATATATGTGAATTGATTAACTGTGCAGGCTAGGAGGGAAAAAATCAGTGAGAGAATGATGTATCTGCAAGATTTAGTACCAGGCTGCAATAAGGTCAATGGAAAGGCTGCAATGCTCGACGAAATCATCAACTATGTCCAATCCCTTCAAAGACAAGTAGAGGTATAAAATACCCAATAATTGTCGTAAAAAATCATCTAATTATAGTTATTAATAGTCTGAGTTGATATTCGTAATTGGTTCATTGCAACAGTTCTTGTCAATGAAACTTGCTGCGGCAAGTCCAACGCTTGACAGCAACGACAACTTCTTTTCTACAGAGGTAAAGAATACATTAAGCAGTAGGGATACAGTATGCATGGACATATAGCCTATTTGGTTTAGTTTTCTAAGAACTGATAACTGAAAATAAGTGAACTATACAAAAATCTGTTTGGTGGACTGTTCTTGAAAGCTTGGTTAAAAAATGACTTGTTTTTAGATAACTGCCTTTTATAATTATCTGAAAATGGTTTTTAGAAAACTAAATCAAACATGTCCATAAGTGTTGATAATTGTGCTCATGTGTTAGTAGTAAGTTTCTTCTGGTTCTATATGAACAGGTATTTCCAGGTTGCGGATCTAATTTTCCGACAATTGGGGTATCATCGGAAATGGCTAATCCTGCCTACCTTCAATTTAATCCATCACAACAAGTAGTTTCATCTTCTGGACTGGAAATGGGGATCAATCCTCCCGATATGGCACTGCGAAGAACTATCAGTGCTCCTGTATCGATTCCTGAAACTTTTATCGACTCTTCATGTTTCAATGTAATTTCTTCTACTTGAATTTAAGTGTTTATTATCTTTACAGTTTAAATTTTATGTGTGTGTGTTTTTTTTTTCCCCAACTAAGATTAACTTACAACACAGCAAATCCAGACCTCACAAGCAACTTGGGATACTGATTTACAAAGCCTTTATGGTGTGGAGTTTCATCTAGGAAGATCAACATCATTTCCAACCCAGCAATTTTCAGGTATAGAGAACCAACATGTTTTACTCAGTATTTTAGTTCTTGTTTCTAATTATTCCATAAGAAGGAAGAAACTGAAGAAAGTGGTTATTACTGCATATGACGGTGACATGGTCCCAGGACTATTGGTCTCAGGCTAATCGCTAGTTGACATGCAAGAAAATGCATCAGCTTCTTTGTGATAGTTTTATTTCACTTGGTGTGTCCCCATGAGATTGATTCCGGGACCATTCGATAATTTCTCCACAGCCACACAAATGATAATGATTTTTCTTAGGAATAAATATGAGTCCTCCCTGACAGATATCAAGATGGTTCTTTATTGGGTATTCCTTCTTTTCCTGTCTTCCACACAAAATGCTCAAAACCATGAGATATTTAGCTGACAATCAACTTTTCTTCTAGAAAAGGTAAAGCAATTAAAGGAATTGTTTGACTATGGGTTACCCAAAAGTTTGAAGTGTTCAGAAATGGCGACAATATATACCTTGCTCTCACTGTGAAAGTCTACAATACCTTAAAGTTTCCAGCCGTTGAATGTTGTGGTGAGACCCACTTGATGGATGATCCAACGGCTGTGAGGCACCGGGGTACGGTACCCCAGGATATTGTAGACTTTCTCACTCTCATATTGCATTTTGGTCCATGATGTACACAACAAGGCTATCGATGGATACCATCAATTAACCATGAAACAGAGCACATGCATTACTAAAATGAAACTGACTTCCTCTTTTACCTACTAGCGAGCATATTTGGGCACACAAGAGAGGATTCGGGTTGGTTCATGCTCTCCCATCCATATACTCACAGCCCAATCACACACAAATTCGATACATAATAAATATATACATGTATTTTAACACGTGCAATAGATCAGATTTGCTAGCTCTAAATGCTGAAACTAAAGAGTTGAGATTCGTTTTTTGCAGGTTCTATTGAAGCTAACACCCCGAATGGATATCTGAATCAGAATGTTGATCATGGGAGTTTTTTTGACGATGTAGTTTCATCCAAATGAATTCAATCCTGATTATTTTCCTTTTCCTTTTCTCCTTACACAAATACATATTGTATATAATTGTAAGGACAATCGTACTGTAGAAATAATAATCATAGTGATATAAATCTTTTTATTCTCAATAACAAGCTTTTTTTATTTTATTTTTTTAATATATTTTTTTCATCGGAAATGTGAAATACTATATATCTAAATCGGGGGTGAGTGCAAATGAGAGGGAAATTCAAAGAATTGGCAAAAATGGTGAGAGCAAATGGTGAAAAAATATAGCAAAACTATCGAGTGGCACAAGTTGATCCTATGTTGAAAGAAACCTGAATGACAATGTCAGTCAAGTGGCACAAGTTGATCGTAGATAGAAAGCTGAATGACGATCTAAAGCATTCCTACAAATGACCCAACCTCAACCTGCGGACTCTAGTGCTTCCTTTTTGGGCAAAAGGAGACATGTTGATTGAGATGCTGATTATTGCATATGCATATTGTAGGCTAAATATGCTCTCTCTCTCTCTCTCTCTCTCTCTCTCTCACACACACACACACACACACACACACACACCTCCAATCCATCCCCCCATGAAAAAACTCTGGGATGTTTATTTACATCATTGCGTATACTCATTTTTGTCTTCGTATTATTGAGTTGATTTCCTAACTTTCTTAGTGTGGAACATATACAATTGTGTGATAAGTCAAGTCATCAAAATAAATGTGTTAGCTCCAGTTTTCACTCTAAAGGGGAAAATAATTCGGATTAAAAGATTTAAGCAAGATTATACAATATCAACATAAATTGTGCAATAAACAAGATATGAAAATAATTGAAGCAAGCACAATTTAAATGACACGAGGGAAGAGAGAATTAAACACAATTGACTCGGCGATCTAGTGATGATCAGAATTCCTACTCCTCGGTTCAAGATCTCTCTTGAGAGTTTTCCAAATTCACTATGGCTTCTCCTTTCGGATGGAGAGCAAACATTTACAAGAAGCTAACTAGTTTCTCCTTCCTTCTTGTTAAGAGAATTACCTTATCTTAGACTTCATTTTGGGTCACACCAACCATTAGATTTGTAGGAAGAATGTACTACAATCAATATCTCTTCAAAGATAGATTTCTCAAATCAGAACTTACAAGACTAGAGTATTAATGAAGTTCAAAATGAAACTCAAGTCTGTTGAATGAGCGAGAGAATGGTAGTGTATTGAATGCTCAGATGAATACTCTTAATATCTCGTATAAATGTTTCTCATAGCTTGTATATTCATTCATAAATGCCCAGCCACATATATAGAGAGATCAAACATAAAATATTACAATCAAGCGTGTCTTACATTAGTTATTTGGATATATATTAAAATCAATCCAATATACTTATTATTCCATATTTGGTCACTTGGGTTCAATGGTTTGATACATATATTCAATAAATATTTGTAAACAAAAACATAATATTAAATATAAATAACCAGTTTCCTGTAACCAAATCAACTTAGCCAAAATACTTTCACACATGGATTCTATTTTGATGAAATACATTTTGCAGTGTTAGATCACTCAAGTATATCAAAGCAAATATTAATATAACCCCAGCCGGTATAGTTCTCAGGATTAAGAGTCAACTTATATTAATAAAAGATTAAGAAAATTACTTGTGATGGTGCAGGTAATTTTTCCACTTATTGACGATTTGTTCAACGTATCCCACTTAATACAATAATTCATCAATATTATACGAAGATAAATAAATCAAGCTCGAGGGTAGTGGAATTGAGCACGTCCCGTTGACCTTCTCTAACCTCATCCTCATGAGCAATGATGACATCGTTAGATAAGAAAATCTTGGTGAGGGCCATGGCTTATTAGAGATGAGTGCCCTTCTTCTTGCAATCCAGCATATGACGGTACATGAGGTAAAAAAGATCAAATTCCTAGCTGTTCAAAATGCACCATATAAGGAAAACTTCGACATATTAGACATCCCTTCTTCTTGCAATCCAGCATATGACGGTACATGAGGTAAAAAAGATCAAATTCCTAGCTGTTCAAAATGCACCATATAAGGAAAACTTCGACATATTAGACATCCGAACGTACACTAGACTTTGGAAGAATGGCATATGTGGTGACATTGTGAATGATGCGTGCTTGCATAGTCAATTGTTTTGAATAAATTCGACTAATGTCGATGACTTCTTTGTCATGTCTAATTTGTCTAACCGCCATCAATGGAATAAATTCCCGACCATGAAACCAACTGTGGGTGGTGCAATACCTATAACCTCCTTGGTTAAGACCTAGTGTCTTTCTCAATGACTCTTTTGTGATCTCAATGTCTTTTCTCGCCATAAATGATGATAGAGCCGATTCATGGGGAATCTTCTCTAAGTTGGTGTAGAACAATTTCACGAATTTGGGATAGTGTGGAATATCCATTGCAATAAAATATGTGGCAACTTTGTGGGCGGGTGTGTGTGAGTTTGTGCAGGTGGCACCAGTAGGCTATCACATTAAGCAAGTTACAGGTGCACAGTCCCACATTGTCTTGGTGTGGAAGGGGCAAGTGCTATATACAGATTCAATACCTTTCTATGACACAACGCATTTTAAAGCTGTGATGGTCGTGAACCCACCAAAACTCTAGAGTTAAACATGTTTTATCTGGAGTAATTCACTGTTTCAGTATGGGTGACCCCATAGGAAGTCTCTGGTTCAGGGGAGCCAAAAACGGATAATATTGTGTTTGGCTAGGATGATAGTCGTTACAAATGGTATCAGATCCTTACCCAGCCAGAAATATAGTCAACGAGGACGTTGGGCTCGAAAGGGGGGGTTGATTGTGGTGACTTTATGGGCGGGTGTGTGTGATCGTGTGCAGGTGGCACCAGTAGGCTACCACATTGGGTGAGCTACAGGTAGACAATTTCACATCATCTAGGTGTGGAGGGGGCAAATACTATATACAGATTCAACACTCTACTATGACCCAATACATTTTAAAACCGTGATGGTTGTGAACTCATCAAAACTCTAGAGTTTAGTGTGCTTAATCTAGAGTAGTACCAGGGTTAAGTGTACTTAATCTGGAGTAGTACTAGGATGTGACCCTCTGAGAAGTCTCAGTCTGAAGAAGCCAAAAACAAACAATATTGTGACTGGCCAGGGTGAGGATCATTACAAAATAACCCAAACCAATAGCCGCAAAAAAGAATAGGTGTTTAAATATAACTCATTACAAGTGTTTGGACACACTATCTTGCCTTTTGCCACGGTCCTATTAAGGAAGTTTTGCTCATTTATCTCCTTGTGGTTGGGAGTCTTGTAGAGCTTGTGAGAGTCAACCACTATGGAGTTTTGCCCTTGGTTGTGAACAAGTTTGGTGTGCTTGTCACACTGTTGAGTATTCTTCTTTGGTGCCATGAGTGAATTGAAGATGGAGAGGGCCATGGTTTGGTGAATAGGAAGAAAATAACAGTTTGAAGATGGAGAAGATGGATTTGGGGGTCAAAAATGGAGAATAATTGTGAAAAATGAGGGATAGTGGTAAGTTTAGAGATAGTGAGGGAATGGTTTGTGTCTGAGAAAAGGAGGTAAATGAAAAAGTAAGAAAAATCTAATTGAATGGCCCCTTTTAAGTTCTCAGATCTGCAAACTAGCCGGTTGGTTTGAGAACCAATCGGCTAGTTTGGCCCTTCTTTAAGCCCTAGCCACAATGGAACTTTCAGTCGGCTGGTTGGATTCATCAAAATTTTGAATTTTGGTATTGATCGTGTATATTGATGCAACATATTCCTTTGTCGTAACAAATTCCTTGTGTGTAGCCAAAGTCGTGCAACAATGATGATTATAAATCGTGTGTAGCCAAAGTCGTGCAACAAACTCCTATTGACTAAGTATAGTTAACAGGAGATATACAACAAAGTATGGTCTCTAATTTGTAGAAAAGAGACATACTTTTCTTTATTACTGTGTCTTTAATATCGAGTATAGAAAACTGTGTGTAGCAAACAAGAGACAACTAAGGCACAAGTTCATTCACCAATAGTGGTTGTAAGCAAGGGGACACTCCATTCTACTGTTAGTTCAATAGTTCGTATCATTTTCATTTGCTTGCACCTCCTCACCTAAACATCTACCGTACCCAACACCACAACAAATCATTCCATCAGTGCCATCCATTACATCGTTAAACCCCATTTCTAAATTCTATGGACAATAGAACTGTCCATAGAATACTCATTGTGAAGCCCCATCTATTATATTTGCACTCTCAAATCACCCAACTCAAAAACAAAAATCACACCTAAATCCATCACCACTCCATCGCCATATACGGTGGCTCTAAACATTTGACATTTAATATATGATTTACAGAAGAAAAAAAAAAAAAAAAAGAGAGAGATTTAGAAGAGAAAGAAATGTTGCGGGTCAGATGAACACAAATCCACCAATGCTTGATCAAATCTTCCTAATCTAAGAATACTTGAAATGTCACGGGCCTAGGTTTGTCTTGTACTGTTTGAGTACACCATTAAAGAGAGAACCAAGGATAATAACGGTGGAGGAAGGAGGTGAATTGGAGAGAGAGAGAGGGGTGGGGAGGCAACGACAGTAGAAAGGAGAGGACGAGAATTCAAGAACGATAGATGGATTGTTTGCTTTACAATTGGTACCTGACACAAGTTGTATTTAAGGGCATCTATGACTTTTTACTCTAACAAATATTTGTAATATATTATATTATATAATTTAAGGGTATAATTGACCTTTTACGCTCACCGTCCTTTTTGATATCCTATGAAAATATTTAAGGCGAAAAAAGTAATAAAAATTGAATGGTCTATGAGTATATAATTTGTTTAAAGTTTAGGAAAGACCAACGTAAATTAAAAAAAATAGAAAGTGTTAAAAAAATAGAAAAATAATTGAGGGAAAAGAGAAATGAGATGAGATGGAAAAACTCAGCAAATGAACGGAAATGAAATGACTTTGGAGGACGAAACAATGGGGAAGAGCAGGGTTCTGATAGTAGGAGTGACAGGTAATCTAGGGTTTCTACTAGCAAAAGCCAGCATCCAAGCTTCTCATCCCACCTTTGCCCTTGTCAGAGACTCCGCCTTCTCTGACTCACTCAAATCCAACAAACTTCAAACCCTCTCCGACGCTGGTGCCACCCTTCTCAAGGTGGGAATCCTCCCCTCTCTCTCTCTAAACATCTCTCTCTCTCTAAAACAGTATTCTTCTGTTTTTGAATTTTAGGGTTCATTGCAAGATGAAGCGAGCCTGATTCAAGCGATCAAGCAAGTCGATGTCGTGATTTGTGCTGTTTCGTCCAAGCAAGTCCTCGAACAGAAGCATCTCATCTTAGCTATTAAACAAGCTGGATGTATCAAGGTCATTCTTCTCTTCCTTTTCTATTCCATCATACACACACAAACACTCTCATACAATGTGAATTCAATATATTATATCTGCTAAACTTGTTCATTCTGGATTAGATCGAAAATGGTTTTCTCTAATGTTCTGTTTTGATTGTTGAGAAGATTTGGGATAAAAGATAAAATTGATATATATATATATATATATATATGCTCTAATCAATGTGTTCTCTACTGTTTGCACATTGTAGTAAAATGCTTTCATTGTGCTTGTAGCTAAGCCCTTTGTTTTCTAATTTGTTAAAGTTACTTGATTCTTTTAAAATTGTAATTTTTTTTTTTTTTTTTTTTTTTTTTCAGTGGGCATAGTACCACTTCTTGACTAGTTTTTGAGGTACTGGTGTAATTGTAAGTTCAGAATTAACAAACTACTAAAGAATGTACTGTGAGTGGTCTAAATAGGTATTCTTGAGCATAGGCCTTTCTTCCACTGAAAAGAGATGGCATGTCTAGTGCCAGACATTTTTATTTTTTTTATTTTTGGTTTATTTATTTATTTATTTCTTATTATTTTGGTGGTAAGTTTGTCTAGTGCAAGATGTGGAAACTTGCCGTAATAACAAATAAAATAAAATCATTCTGTCAAGATATCACCTGTGTTTGGTTTGGTAGAATATGGTCCAAAGTTTAAATACTATTTGGCCGGAGACCCATGGAAGAGAATCAAGAGATATTTGAAACACACTTTGAATTATTCAAGAATATAGGTGAAAAGTGTTCCTCTTTGACTAGTTAGTATTTTCTAATTGGTTAAGTAACCAAAAAAACTAGGTACATTCATCTTTGTAGACTATAATCTTGCATTTTGCATACAGTGGGCCATGAAGGAATTTTTTTATAAGAATTAGATCATATACATAGCATATGCTTGTGTATGTTTCACCGTGTTTTTCATCTAGATTTAGGGGGGCGAAAAGTCCTCATTGTGTAAGATTGGCATTTTTCTTCATTGAGGCATCAACAAGTGTGAACTTTGCAGAGGTTCATTCCATCAGAATTCGGATTAGATCCAGATAAGACTCAAATATCTCACTTGGATTACAACTTCTATTCGAGGAAAGCTGAAATTCGTCGTCTTGTAGAAGCTGAAGGCATCCGTTACACCTACATCTCCTGCAACTTTTACACGAGCTACTTACTTCCCTCACTAGTTCAACCAGGCCTTAAGAACCCTCCAAGGGACAAAGTTACGATATTTGGAGATGGAAATGTTAAAGGTTTGTTGATCAAAATTTAATTCTGCTTGTAATATCTTTGGCTTGATACTAAGCTGTCACTATAATCATGAACCTTAGTTATTTTATTTGTTTGCTGCTTTTCCTTGCATTTTCTGCAGGTGTTTTTGTAAAGGAAAGTGATGTTGCTGCTTTCACCATCGGTGCTGTGGATGATCCACGTACATTGAATAAGGTGCTGTATCTGAGGCCCCTGGGAAATGTCTACTCCATGAATGAGCTGGTTGAGTTATGGGAGATTAAGATCAAGAAGAATCTTGAGAAGAGTTACATGCCAGAAGAGGAGCTTCTTAAGAAAATTAAAGGTATATCTGTAATTGTAAAAAGTGTAACTACCATCACAGAATTTCCAATCACTTGAAAAGGGCCAATTAGTGCGAAGTTAATACTCTCTTCAGTTTATCATTGCAAAACCAAACACTGAAATAGTTTCACCAGAAGCACCAAAACAACTATTAAAAAGGAGCAGTCATTCTTGAAATTCTAAATGGCCCTTTTTAGTAGTGTTGAGACATAAAAGAGATCAGTAGACTAATAGTAAACTCCATGAAAATTTGAAATTTCTTTATCTTATTTTAAACTGGTCTCCGAATGCTTTTTGCACAATAAGAATTCAGCTCAATAAGCATTCATATCAGACTCTTTGGAAATCAGAAATATGCTCATTTACAGGATAACTGATTGAAAGATCTCATATCAATAACCCTGCCATGTGAATGCTATATTTTGGAATTAGTTCATCAGATTTCACTTGCATCTAGCAGTCATTTATACTTCACTTGGTTTCTCTGGTATTTTAGATCTTTCTTTCTTTGTTCTGAATCCTGACAAATGCTATATTTTGGAACTAGTTCATCAGATTTCCCCTTCATCTAGCAGTCTTTTATACTTGGTTTCTATGGTATTTAGATCTTTCTTTCTTCGTCTGATAACAAGAGTGATACAATAAATCCTTTAAATTAAATAAAAATCAAAATCAAAAGTCATGCTATGATGTGCTTAATCGGAAAACTAAATTCATCTGAATAGCATTATTCACCTAATGCATTTTGTTCGTTATATGCCACCCATTTCCTGGATCTTTAGATATGTTCCAGATAGATCTTCCAATTTAATTAGGACTTGCCAGTAGATCCACATGTTTAGACTTGCGCTTGTTTACTTAATTTTAACTAAGGCTCTTCCTTTGCAGTGCCTACAATAGGTCGGTCTTGATCTTGTTTGGATAAATTCTGGTACTATACCTGAATAATTATTTGGAATGACAGTAGATCTGATCTAGTAGACAATAACCAGGGAGAGAATAAAGATTGCTAATTGGGAATTGCCTTAGGTGTATAATACAGATTCTACTTGATTTTGTATAACAAATTTATAGGGCTTTCGGAGTTTTTTCCCCTCCTTTTATCAGTTTTTTGGACCTCTTGGTTCTTGTGATTCCGTTCCATTTCTGTGTTAGTCTTTTGCTGAAAATACCTTGATTGTTGCATTTCAGAGACTCCATATCCGAACAACATGGAGATGGTTTTCATATATTCTGCATTCGTGAAGGGAGATCAAACATATTTCGATATCGAGTCGTCTGGTGGCGTGGAGGGGACGCAATTGTATCCGCATCTGAAATACACAACGATAAGCGAGTATCTGGACACCCTATTGTAAGAATTTACATTCCTACTTCGTGAACTAAATGTAGCTGATCCTCCTCCTTTTCTTCGTTAGTGTATATGAATCATTTGGCTAGTTGCTACTGACTTTTGATAATGGGATTGAATAGTACTATTTGATTCACTCAGTAAACACCTGAACTTTGTGAACTCACTCAGTCCTTTCAATAGGCAGGTCATGAGAATCTTAAGAGCCCCACGACTTATTACCTGGCGCGGAGCCAGAAACTTAAGATTGGGGGTTCCGGAATTGAGCTTGGGCCGGGTATGACCCATCCCACTAAAGATTGGATCGGGAAAGAACAATTGACTCGATTGGATGAGCCCATCAGGCCAAATCTTCATTAAGAAGATCTCCAAGCCCAATCTCAAAGGAAAGAAAATGAACCTGTATTGAAAGAAAAGCCCAAAGGATCAGCCAAGCATGAAAGATAAAAGAGGAAGCTTCTAGAATACTTGTATCAATTTATAAATAGGAGGAAAAGAGAGGGAAAAGAGGTTGAGATATTTTGAAGGGTAAGAAATCACTTTTCCTAATTGAGAGAAAATTTTCATTGCAACTTCAGTAACTAAAATTTAAAAGTTATAAATCAATTTTAATATAATTTCTTAAAAATACTAGTCATAGCATACTTGAGAAAATTCAAAAATGAGAAAGATACAACTTAGGCAAAATAATAATAATAATAATAAAATTGATGTTAGAAAGAAAATTATAAAGAAGAAATGGAAAGACGTAAGCATAGTTAGAGAATCAATTTTCCTTTATCAATTGTTTTAGTTTTTTATAAATCTATTTTTTTTGGAAGAAGAAAATTAAATACTTTGATTCTACTTGGGAAAGTATACCTAAATAAAAGATTAGAAAAACATAAAGAATTTTAACTCAAAGAAATTATTTTAATTTCAACAAGATTATTATTGTGTTACTAAACAAGATACAAAAAGTTATAAAATTTGTTATTTAGAAAGTGATAACTAAAAGTATTAGCATATATGATATTATTATTATTATTATTAAAAGTCTTACAATACTTTAATTTATCTTCTTTCCAAATATTGTTAGGACTTGTCATAAAGATTGTTATATAATTCTAGATATTTTTCTTGTAAACACCATTTTACAAAAGTGTTTGACAAAAAAAGATTCATGCATTTTTACTTAAACATGGCGGAACATTAGTTATTTATTTATTTATTTTTCTCTCTTAAATTAATATTATAAATATCGTACGTGTACATGTAAATAAAAAAAATATTAATGTGTTACGATGACAACTATAATAATTATTTATCAAAAAAATGACTATAATAATAATGAGCTTACATCTTTGTTTCATAATATTTGAGTTTTTAGAAGTATAGTATAAAAAGTGCAAATATTATTAGGACTTGTCATAAAGATTGTTATATAATTCTAGATATTTTTCTTGTAAACACCATTTTACAAAAATGTTTGACAAAAAAAGATTCATGCATTTTTACTTAAACATGGCGGAACATTAGTTATTTATTTATTTATTTTTCTCTCTTAAATTAATATTATAAATATCGTACGTGTACATGTAAATAAAAAAAATATTAATGTGTTACGATAACAACTATAATAATTATTTATCAAAAAAATGACTATAATAATAATGAGCTTACATCTTTGTTTCATAATATTTGAGTTTTTAGAAGTATAGTTTAAAAAGTGCAAGTTGAAAAAATTTTAAATTTCAAGAATGACAAAAACTAAATTTATTTTCAAATTCTTTATTTTGGGTCAATATATGTGTTTTGAAAAAATTTGGGGGGTCAATTAAAACTTTTAATAAATTTTAGGAACAAAATTTATAAATTATTTAATATTTAGAAACTATTAATAGAATTTAAAAAAAAAATTTAACTGGTCAATATATCTATTAAAAATACTTGGGGGATAAAAAAAAAATTCAAAAAAATTTGGAGGGACCATGGCCCTGCTGGCCCACCTTGGCTTCGCCCTGCTTATTAGACCTAACAAGTGCCAAAGCAGGGGCCACTTGTAGGCCTTTAAATGTTTATTACCTTAACTTTCCGCCAAGCCTTTTCTTGACAACAGGTAAATAAGTAAATGTTGAACTGTTTATGGTATAAAATTTGCTCAAATCTCAGAACGATAAAACTTTGCAATATATATATATATATATTGTCATAGGCTCTTGTAATGAGCTTTTTTGTTCTGTCACATGACTATTGACATTTACATTGGAATAGTGGATTTAATGTCAATGTAATGGTCTAGATTAAAAAAATAAAAATAAAAAATAAAAAATAAAAAATCTCTTAACACTTTTTTCTTTCCAAATTGCACCACCTTGGTGTGTGCTGCAACATCATGACATAGTGCTTATCATGTTTATGTAGAAATAATATTTTTTTATGTATTCCATCAATTGAGGATTTAGTGTCGGTGACAGAAATGGGACCCTATCATGTCCATCCATCCATCCATCCACCATGACTCAAATTGAGTGGAAGAGTCAAAAAGGAACGCAAGAAAACAAAACCGACAGAAATGGACCCTATCATGTCTGTCCATCATCATGACTCAAATTGAGTGAAGAGTCAAAAAGGAGCGGAAGAAAAAACACAAAGAGGGAGAAGAAAAGTTGGGCGGCCGAATTACGCAGAGTAGTCCACACTTGAAGATATGAAGCTGCAATTTACATGGCTGTTTGGTTATAAATAGGTAGAGAACTTCATGGTTTTGATATGAGAGTGTGCAGAAGAGATCAGTTCAGAAAAAGGAGTGAGACTTTCTGTGTGTTTTTTATTAACCTCTTGAATTTCAGTTCACAGATGAAGTTTGATGGGAAGAATAACTTCTTCCTTTGGCAACGGAGAATGAAGGATCTCCTCGTACAAAGAGGATTACACAAAGCGCTGCAAGGAAAAGAGAGAAAGCCCGAAAAGATGAGCGAAGAAGATTGGAAGGAAATGGACGAAAAAGCTGCAAGTACCATCAGACTCAGTCTCTCAGACGAGGTCATATACAATGTGATTGATGAAGAAACGACGATAGATGTTTGGAACAAACTCGAAAGCTTATAAATGGTGAAATCTTTAACGAACAAGCTATATCTCATGAAACAACTCCGCCGGCTTCAGATGGAAGAGGGTTCCAGTTTTGTAGAGCATCTCAACGTTTTTAATGGCCTGATTATTCAGTCGTTAAACATCGGAGTCAAGATTGGTGAAGAAGATAAAGTCGCAATTCTTTTGGCTTCATTGCCTCAATCCTATGATGAATTGGTGACGACCTTGCTATTTGGTAAGGATACTGTAGTGCTGACAGAGATTACAGCAGCTCTCTGGCGAACGAGAGGAGAAACAAACCGATTGGGGAAGAGTTTTAGACAGAGGGATTGTTGGCAGAACAGAAGTGTGGAAGAAACAAAAGACAATGGAAGAGGTTCCTATAGGAACATATCTCGATCAAAGTCACGGACAAGAAAACGTGAGGTGAAGTGAAGGCCATATCAAGAGAGACTGTGGAGCTTTGAAGAAAGAGTTAGGAAGAAAAGAAGAATGGTTGTGCACCATGCAGTTATAGAGGGTGCATTGAAGTGCCTCAAAAGACCCAATAGACGTTGAAAATCTTGGAGAAAACTCGGTAGAATTTTGAGATAAGGTGGAGATTTTATGTACACAAATATGGGACCCACCATATATGTGAATTTAGAGTAAAAAATTGACAGAAGAACCTCATTGTGAGATATGAGATTGTACATTATTGAGATAGCGCAAAAAATCAATTCGTGAAAAGGCCTATTGTCTCCGTACTAAAAATAGTATCGTGTTTAAAAAATAAGAGTAGTTTAATTTGTGAGAGTGACGATTATTTAGAAGTAACACTTTTTATGAAAAGAAGGGAGTCAAATTTTGTGAGAAAATATTTTGAAAAGGTTAAGAGAATAGTTTGAGTGATTGAGTGCTCATGTACACCATAATTTTTAGATAGTGATTTTTTATTTAATCTCTTTTGTGAACATAGGCATATTGTTTAACCAAGTAAATTTGGTATCATTTTGCTTAATTATATGAGTGTTATTTTTAATTACTTACTGTGAATAGAAGATCTTGGAGAATTTGCTCACATACAACGCCTTCCAAGAACAACAGTCAGTTTGTCCCTACATTTAAAGGGTAAAGTGCAATAAATCACTTTCAAAAATACCTCAACTGCAACTAATACTTCTCAACTACAAATAACTCCCCTCAATTATTAAATTGGTTAAGTTTTAGGACAAAATGTTATACAGGCCATCTCCTATCACCGAAAATTGGCAATACAACTGGCACTAATTTTTTTCTTAATTTTAGTGGACAATTAGGGTTTATTTATGTATTAAATAATCCCTTAATGGATTTGTTTTGAACTTCTTGATATATGTTGTAATCACATGATTTCATAGTCGTTGAATCGCTACTGCTTGGGCTGAAGCTAAGATAGGAATTGGCGAGGAGCTTTCTTTATCTGTGATATTCTTAGGCTTAGTTTGTTGACTCCTCTCCGATTCACTTTCATTTGTACCGGTGATCAGATTTTAGCGTACTTGCAAAGTAAAATTTCAATTGTCATACTGTTTTTATAACTGGCATTATAAATGCAAAAGGTGATTCTCGTGAGGTCACTACGTCCGGAAGCTAACCAATTTGATTTCCTTTCATGGGATGCACCCGTAGTTTTTCCGGTTTTGGAATCACTACCGTTGGCTTTTTCAACACTTTTTCTTCATAAAATAATCATCTCGGTCATTTCAGATTATTTTTGTTATCATATTCTACTTTAACTTGAAAATGGTTGTTTTCTTTGAAAGATGCCCTTTTTGTCATTTTTCGACACTTTAAAAATCAGCTTTTGTTTAAAAGGACATTTTGGTCATCTATAACTTCCTAAAAATCTCACTTTTTGTTAAATGGTCATTTTTGCCCTCTCGGCACAACAAAAAATCATTTTCATACCAAAATGGTTATTTTTGGTCACTTTTGGTACTAAAGCATTTTGCAAAACAAAATAACCATTTTGGTTGAATTTGAGTCATCAAAAACCAATTCAAGTGAAGTGTGCATTTTTCAAGTCAAGAGAATCACCACTAAAACAAAATGGGACTTGGATCCTT